GCTCTGTCCAGCTACATTCCCCAGTGTAGGCAAAAACCGAGACTCGACATCCGTTGAACTGAAACTCACACTTTTCCTCGGGGAGAGCTGCCGCCTGGCTTTCAGCTTCCTCTCATGTCACGTTCCCAGGCCCTTAAATTGCGATGAAAATCTTGGAGGAAAGAAACCAGTCAGACCCGGGTATCCCTTTAATAATTATTATTATGATTAATAAATAGTAATAAAAATAAATAATCATTAATCAAGGAGGACTCCCCAAAATGGAGAAGAACTTTGGCAAGAGGTTTGAGGCCATGATTACACATCCTGACTGTATGTGGAAAACACAGTGATAAACAGCATCGTATTCACACTTCCTGGGATGGTCTTAGGGTGAGGGGGAGCACCCAGACTGCAGTACACAGTTACATTGCTGCATCCTTCCAGGGAGTCTGGGAACTACAACTCGAGTCTTTCCTTGTGCCCCTCTTGGTCTGGCAGGAAAGTCATTTCCTGCTTGTCTTAGCTGCCAGCAGACCGCTACCCTTTCCTTCCCAACCCCCTGCTATTCCTGGCTCTGCTGGCTAGAGCATTGGAGGGCTAGAAAACTTTGCTCAGATCCCTCCTTTCCCCAGGTACTCTAGGTGCAGAGTAAGAGAATGTACAGAACCATTTGGCCCTTCATAGAAAAGTAAGGCTGTGTCTAGACTGGCAAGTTTTTCCGCAAAAGCAGCTTCCGTGTTAACCCCTGCAGCACCGGCCAGCAGCACCCTTCCCCCCCACAGCCGCAGGGCCCTGCATGGCCAGGCGCAGCATCGGCCCACACGTTCTAGGGGCGAGCCCACACATGCCTCATGCGCCTGGAGGCTGGGCCATGCACCCCGGGGGTGGCGCCGCGTGCCTGGGGCGCCAAAATGGCTCGGGCTGACCCTGATTGGCGCTCCAGTCCTCCCACTGTCCCACCACGGGGCTGGCGCACACACGCCGCCCCCCCCCCCCCCCCCCGCCAGGCTCTGGCGTGGGAGGGGAATGTGGGGAGCATCTTTCTCCTTCTCAGACGGGGTCACATGAGCGAGGGGCTTTTGTTTTTAACTTCTCACTTGTATGCGGCCCCCAACTGATTTTCTGTGGGTCAAAAAAGGTTCCATGCCCCTGTACAGGGGCGGATTTAGGGCAGGGCGAACGGGGCAGCCGCCCCGGGCCCCGCACATAAAAAAGCTCCGCGCATGCGCTGTGGCAAAGAAGGGGCCCCGCGGAGTTACACTGCCCGGGGCCCCGCAAAACAGTCATCTGCCCCTGCCCCTGTATAAGCTCTAGATTAGGGGCTCAACTTTGCGAAATGCTGCGTACTTTAGTTCTGGTCCAGCAAACTTTACGCCTGTGGAGCTGGGTCCATTGAAATCATGTGCTTAAACTGTTGCTGAAGTGCTTTGCTTACTTGGAGGCAGACTGTTGAGCATTTTGTAGGTCTGAGCCTAGGGGCGTGACAATGCCTCTTATCTGAGTTTGGAAGCATGGACTGGATTGCAGGAGCAATCAGCCACAGATGTATTCTTATTCTTATTTAGTGAGACTGTTTAAAAACCAGAAAAAAATCCTCAGTGAGGCCATCTTTAAACATCATAATGGAGCAGCAAATGACAGTGTTTCCTAGTTCACCTTTGAGGCAGCAAAGATGTCATTGGCTGCCATTCACAATCTGCTCCGGCTGTGATGGGCTAATTCTTACGAAATCAGCATCCCCTCAATATCGAGTTCCCCTGCTTGAATGTGATCAATAGTGTCTATAAATAGCAGCAGGGCCAGGACTCAGCCAGGCGCTGCCTCTGACAGCACCGTGCCGCAGTGATATGTCCATCGCCTTCCACATTCTGGCCTAACCTCCACACTTATGACACACACCATAAACTTCATATTGGGGAAGTTCTGTGGTCTGTGTCATACAAGAGGTCAGACTCATTCAGTAGTTTTCACACTTTTGTACCAGTGACCCCTTTCACATAGCAAGCCGCTGAGTGCCAGCCTCCGTATACATTAAAAACACTCTTCAAAATACATATTTATCACTCTTCTAAATGCTGGCTGCAAAGCCAGCTTTGGCGTGGGGCTGACAGTTTGATACTCTCCCCCCATGTGATAACCTCACAACCCTGGAAGGGTCCTGACCCCTAATTTGAGAACCCCTGGACTAGTTGATCACAGTGGTCCTTGCTGGCTAGGGACAATATGAATGTATGAACTCCGCAAAGCCATACGTAGAGGCACTCCCAATAAAGAGGATCTTTCTCCAGCTGAGAGTACTGACAATTCTCTTTCACATCTCCACCCCTTTCCTTCCACTCTTTAATTACAGAGAAACCGGTACAAGAAGAGATCATCCCTATGAGGTAATCTCCTGTTTTAAGAGACAGTCTCTCTGTACCAGAGACACTTCCCTGTAAAAATTCCCTCCAGCTCTTGGTATTAGGAACTATCTGTGTTTGTATAACAGGGGTCTGCTCCGTGATTGGGATTCCTAGGTACTATTGCCAAATAAACAAAGTTTGCCAGCCCCTTCAGTGGTGGTTTACGCTGGGATTCACTGTATATACTACAATGACCAAGGATTGTTTTTAAAGCACAATGTTGAGTTCTGGGTCTGTCCATACCCAAAGGAAAACACAGCCCCTGCCCCAAAGATCCTGCAGCATCAGTGGTGAGTGTGGCCCTTGATAAATAGGTCCCTTCCCAGACACCAATGTTTGTCTGACAGTGCTGCGGGAGGGACTAGCGTTATTTCGAAATAACAGTGCGAGCGTCTACACGGCCATTCTGTTATTTCTAAATAATTTCGAAATAATGGACGTCTTATTCTGAAATTTGTAATCCTCATTCTACGACTGCATCTAGACTGGCAAGTTTTCTGCTTTTGCGGAAAAACTTGACAGCTGTCTACACTGGCCGCTTTGAATTTGCAGAAGAACACTGATGATTGCATGTAAGATTGTCAGTGTTCTTGCGCAAATACAATGACTCTCCTGTTCGGGAAAAAGCCCTCTTGTGCAAATGCTTTTGCACAAGAGGGCCAGTGTAGACAGCTGAGAACCGTTTTGCGCAAAAAAGCCCCGATGGCAAAAATGGCGATCGGGGCTTTCTTGCGCAAAACCGCGTCTAGATTGGCACGGATGCTTTTCCGCCAAAAGTGCTTTTGTGCAAAAGCGTCCGTGCCAATCTAGACGCTCTTTTCCAGAAATGCTTTTAACGGAAAAACTTTTCCGTTAAAAGCATTTGCGGAAAATCATGCCAGTCTAGATGTAGCCTACGAGTAACAATGCCTATTCTGAAATAGCTATTTCAAAATAAGGCGCGTGTAGACACTCCACTGCTGCTATTTCGAAATAGCCCCTCTTCAGGGAATTCTAAGTTATTCCTCCCCAGTGCCTCCTGGGGCTCTCAGTCCAGATAGCGCATCTACATTAGGGAAGCCTGCCTCCGACTCATTTTGAGGCTTCCCTGCAGTGTAAATGTGCTATTTGGAAATCAGCTATTTTGGAATAACTCTTCCGGAATTGCCTATTTTGAAATGAGCGTGCAGGGTAGACATAGCCTAAGTCACACACCCTTTCAAACTCAGGGCAGGCTGGCTGTCCTTTCCAGGCCTGAGCAACACCCTGTGAAAGTGCGACCCAGAAACCCACCCGCACTCTCCCGCTGTGGCCACGCTCCAGCCAAGCATGGGGTGTGTGTGTGGGGGTGTGGGTGTGAATTTGCAACCCAGGAGCTGGGCAGCATCTCAGGGGGTCACTGCCCAGCACCCAGGCTGAAAGGGGCTCCCACTATGCACAGGTGTGGGATCCGAATCAAGCCCCCTGCTCCTCGCGCCGGGTGTGGGATCCGAATCAAGCCCCCTGCTCCTCGCGCCGGGTGTGGGATCCGAATCAAGCCCCCTGCTCCTCGCGCCGGGTGTGGGATCCGAATCAAGCCCCCTGCTCCTCGCGCCGGGTGTGGGATCCGAATCAAGCCCCCTGCTCCTCGCGCCGGGTGTGGGATCCGAATCAAGCCCCCTGCTCCTCGCGCCGGGTGTGGGATCCGAATCAAGCCCCCTGCTCCTCGCGCCGGGTGTGGGATCCGAATCAAGCCCCCTGCTCCTCGCGCCGGGTGTGGGATCCGAATCAAGCCCCCTGCTCCTCGCGCCGGGTGTGGGATCCGAATCAAGCCCCCTGCTCCTCGCGCCGGGTGTGGGATCCGAATCAAGCCCCCTGCTCCTCGCGCCGGGTGTGGGATCCGAATCAAGCCCCCTGCTCCTCGCGCCGGGTGTGGGATCCGAATCAAGCCCCCTGCTCCTCGCGCCGGGTGTGGGATCCGAATCAAGCCCCCTGCTCCTCGCGCCGGGTGTGGGATCCGAATCAAGCCCCCTGCTCCTCGCGCCGGGTGTGGGATCCGAATCAAGCCCCCTGCTCCTCGCGCCGGGTGTGGGATCCGAATCAAGCCCCCTGCTCCTCGCGCCGGGTGTGGGATCCGAATCAAGCCCCCTGCTCCTCGCGCCGGGTGTGGGATCCGAATCAAGCCCCCTGCTCCTCGCGCCGGGTGTGGGATCCGAATCAAGCCCCCTGCTCCTCGCGCCGGGTGTGGGATCCGAATCAAGCCCCCTGCTCCTCGCGCCGGGTGTGGGATCCGAATCAAGCCCCCTGCTCCTCGCGCCGGGTGTGGGATCCGAATCAAGCCCCCTGCTCCTCGCGCCGGGTGTGGGATCCGAATCAAGCCCCCTGCTCCTCGCGCCGGGTGTGGGATCCGAATCAAGCCCCCTGCTCCTCGCGCCGGGTGTGGGATCCGAATCAAGCCCCCTGCTCCTCGCGCCGGGTGTGGGATCCGAATCAAGCCCCCTGCTCCTCGCGCCGGGTGTGGGATCCGAATCAAGCCCCCTGCTCCTCGCGCCGGGTGTGGGATCCGAATCAAGCCCCCTGCTCCTCGCGCCGGGTGTGGGATCCGAATCAAGCCCCCTGCTTCTCACACGTGGGGCGAGATCTGAATCAGACCCCTTGCTTCTCCCGCCGGGTATGGGATCCGAATCAGGCCCCCTACTTCTCACACGTGGGGCGAGATCTGAATCAGACCCCTTGCTTCTTCCGCTGGGTGTGGGATCCGAATCAAGCCCCTTGCTTCTCACACGTGGGGCGAGATCCGAATCGAGTCCAGTGCTTCGCTTGGAGCCCTCCCTGGAAGGGACTGGGAGATGTGTGCAGCCCCCGAGCCAGCCCCTCCGGCTCCCAGGCCTGTGTGCGCCCTGGCCGGCAGCGCGGGGAGAAACATTCGTAAGGGATGCTTCCCTAGCTGCCCTGTACAGCAGCAGGGATGGCGATTCCAGCTTGGTTCGTTCTTGGGAGGTTTCAAACGTCCTCTGTCCTGGCAGAAGCGGTGGTAAATTGGGTACCGGATGGAGAGCCTTAGGTCTACTTTCTCTTCCACTGCTTCGTACAACAGTTGGGCAAATAGTTCCTCCTTTGGGTAAAGCGTTTGGTGTTGTGTGCCCTGGGAGAGGGGAGAAATTGTGCTGGAAAACAGAAGGGTTTGGGGAGAGAAGGGTAATGCATCTGAAATCTGGATTAACAGGGCATGAAATGCTCTCTTAGCTTCCTCCCCAGCTATCCCCCAAAGAATAAAATACATGTAATAAATGGTGATGGTGAGTCAGTGTGGGTTTTTGGCAGCTCTGGCTTCTCCCAAGCAATTTCCCACAGTCAGAAAACATACAGCTGCTGGATTTAAGTGCATCTGTAGATTCCGTCTAGGATTTATTAAGGAGAGGGAAAATGCCTGGGATTTTAGATTTTGTTTTTTAGGTATTTTTGTTTGTTTTTACATGTTGCTAATGGATAATCGCTGAGTTAGAAACCGTAATTTAAAATGATTTCTTGGGACAAGCTTTTGTCATTTTTGATGTAGACCAGTTTGGTTTGTGCTCCCGTTCCCACAGTGTTTTTCATACGTGCTGGGGAGTAGAAAGGCATTAAAAGCGATCTTACCAAAATACTTTCATTATGTCTAACTCTCAGAAATGTGGGAGAAATGAAGTGCTGACCAGATGAATGCACTTTCATACTTTGTCGGGAGGGGGAAGGGAAAGAAACTTGATTGACTCTTTCCTGTGTGTACCAGTCAAACAGATGTTGCACATGAGTTGAAGATTTTCAACGTGGCTGCTTTCTTAAATGATGTCTGTGTTCAAGATGGGACCTGGATCATACAGTCTCTGTTAGCGTTTATTACGTAATTATGGCTCTAACAGGCTAATAAACTGCATAGTTCAATGCAGCAGAGTAAATGTGTAAAGTCCCTTCTCAGTGTTGTTGTAGAAGGGGAAGTTGCGTTGCTAAACTAAACGAGTTGAAATTTAATAAAAGAACAACTATATAATAGCTACTATAAAGACAGAGCTGGCTGTGAAATGGCCCTCTAAGATCCCAGTTCAGCAAGGCATTAAGTATGCACTTTAAATGTAAAACTTGTACTTCAGTACAGGCTTAAATCCCGTTGAAATCCATTGGGACTGTAGCAGAGGCCTAAATGTGTTGCTAAGTGAGTGAGGAGCGGCTTGTCTACATGAAGACGGGAACCAGTTCAAGGTTAAGTGATAACTTATCTAGTTAAACTGATGCAAAAAGTGGCATGGTATTCATGTCTCAGAGGAGTAGCCATGTTAGTCTGTAACTTAAAAAACCATAAAGGACAAGTGGCCCTGGAGCACCTGATCCAGCACCTAAAAAAACAAATAGAATCATGAGCTTTCGTGGGCACCACCCACTTCTTCAGATGAGTGAAGCAAGAAGCACTGGGGCATAGAAACCCCCCAAAATTTAAAGCATTAAAAGAGGGACCAGGGGGAGGAGGAAAAAAAACCCCGTCTGTCAATTATAGTGTCAATGAAATGAGGCTAATAGAGTGTCTGATACTTAGCTTTTGCTGTCATTTGGGTATTGACTATAATGGCCCATCCAGTCAGGGCCGGCCCGAGTCCTTTTGGTGCCCTGGGCCCGGGTGCGTGGCACAGCCTTTGGGCGCACGGCGCATGAGCAGGCCTGCCCCCAGGGTGCACGGTGCATGCGCGGGCTGGCTACGGCCGCTGGCACGCAGCCCAGAGCCCACCCCTGGGGTGCACAGCGCATGCGCTGCCCAGCCCAGCACGGCCAGCACTGCTCGCGCGCGCCGGGCTGTGCAGGGCCCAGCGGCCGTGGGAGGAAGGGCGCTGCTGGACGGCGCCGTGGGGCCGGTGCTGCAGGAGTCGGGCACGCGGCGCCTGATGGCAGCTATAAGAGACGCCGCGCACCCCTTACAGCTGCCATCGGGTGCCCCCCATCGGTTGGCGCCCCACGCAGCTGCCCGGCACGCCCATGCCTCAGTCTGGCCCTGCATCCAGTTAATGTCTTTGTTCATTCCCTGGTAAACATGTCAAACTTGCATTTGAAGGCCAATCCCGCAGTCTCAAATCTCTGGTTGGTTCCTGAAATTATTCCGCAAAAGAATGGCTACTTTTAAATCTATTACTGAGTACCCAGGCAGGTTAAAATGTCCCCCAATCGGTTTCTGTGTGTTACCATTTTGAATATCTGATTTGTGTCTATTAATCCTTTGCTTTCATGTGCTAGTTTAAGTCCATTAGAAAGAGGTGTAAGCTGAACCAAAATAAGCATTTCTTAAACCGAAATAATAGTGCACCAATGGAAATATGCACTGGTTAAATTGGATATATCAAGAAAAGGATAGACATTCCCCTTAAATTCAGAGCTTGAAAACCAAGCATTTAACTAATTTGTATCTTAAAATTTGTATAATATTTTGGGGGAAATGAAAGCAGAAGGAATGAAACTAAGAACGACTTAATCAGATTTAATGAACCAAGATATTCTTGAGTCATGTTTGAGATGGCCATAAACCTGCAGGATGTAAGGTTTATGCTAGTCATAAAACATGCATTAAAAAATAACTAGAACAAATATTACCCAACCAACCACTCCAACGAAACCATATTTAATTATAACGTAGAAGGCTGGCTCAGTTCTGAAAGAAGGAAAGATTTTTAGAAGACCCTGATCCAGCAAAGGCTAATGCAGTTTATTCACTGCAAGCGATCTCATTGTTTTTGGTGAGAGTGATTCCTGCGTGTAAAGTTGTGCACGTGTTTTTGCAGGGTTATGGTAGGGATTCCAGTTTGTATCTGCTTAACATTATGCAACATGTTTGAGTGTTTTTAAGATTGTGTCTTAACTTGATAGGACGACTAGTAGGACAAAAATGGACTTGAGCTACTAGTAAGATAAAGCTGTACTAGAATGCTACTATGTAAGATAAAGCCGTACTAGAATGCAAATTTTACACATGGGCCTTGGAAGATATTACAATATTAAAAATGACTTGAACTACAGTACATTAGATTTATCCTGAAAAGGTATCAATTATGCAGGAAGGGCTACTAATCACGCTCTCTAGAGAGAAAACCAAAGTTTTGATACATGTATAACATCTATGTATAAGTTTTGATACATGGGCTAACGGAGTACTAGGATTTGTGATTTTTAGGATGTTCCGGTATTTTTTGTTACTGCTGGCACAATGTCCGATTTCATTTAAAAAAATACAGAAAGAGAAAGAGAGATGTTGAGCTGATCCCAGGTGCTGTTCACCAGCAGTACCCACTGATACCAAAATTGATAATTGAAAATTGTGGATGCTCTGCATCTTTGGAAAGCGAGGCTTCCATCTGTATTATTGGATGCATGCTCTTATTATGTACATGGTGTCTCTGACAGCTGGCAGAGTGGTTTATGGAAGGTGTAGCACCCCGCAAGGTGGGGAGGCATTGGAATCTCCATTTTACCGTTGGGAACTGAGGTGCAGCACGAGGATGCAACCAAGGTGACATAGCAAGTCTGGCAGAGGAGGGAATTGACCCTGGAAGTAGCATCTAATGGGGCCAGATCAGTCTTTTCCCGGTGTTTGCAAATGCCTCTTTTTTTATTGTTGGGTTTTCTGTGGCCGTGATGCTTCTGGGAAGTTTCTTCTTCTCCCTTCTAGATAAATGTCTAGCGGGGTGCTATGAGCATGTCTACATTGTAAGGTCCTCAGACATCACAGTAGTGGGGCCCCATAAGTATCTATAATGGCAGCAGAACCCCTCCACCTGCATACAGAGGTTGCTTTTTGCAGACCCATCTCCCTGTTCGCAACTGTCCAAGCCATCTCTAACACCTTCCATCACAGACCTAGCAGGGGTGTGACCTCTGCTTTTCTCCACCAGTAAGATTCATTCAAATCTTTCCCCTTCTTGCTCTCCCCCCTTTCAGTTGTTCCCAGGTGTTAACAACGCTGAGAGCCGGGGCGTGAACAGTGTGTGCCCCCTGCCTGGCTAACCTTTTTCTCAGTGAAGGGCCTGCAAGTGTTGTCCATCTTCCCTAGGGCTAGTTCCTTGTGAAGCAAAGGTGGGAGACTCTTGGAAGATGTTCCTTACCTAGGGATGCTGCAGAGCAGTTTGTTTTAAAGCCTAATGAGGGCCATTGAAATGCCATGGCTCATTAAGCAGCCTCAATCCAAGAAGCAAATGTTTGCTTACAGCTGAGGCATTTTACATTTTCCCCTCCCCTATCCCCGGGAGAGAGACTGCTTTTCTGGCCAGTGCCTGCCCGCGCTGGAAAGAATCTGGGGGTTTTCTTTGTCCTTCCTCTTGGAATTTTTCCGTCTCTGACAATTGCAGAGGTGGGATGGGCACAAGGCTTTTATTTTTTTGTAACTAGTGGCACAAATCCAGCCAGCCGGTGCCAACCCTCTGAGCCCGTCCTGCGTGGCTTTTTGCAAAGGGGTCTGGAGGGCCACGGGAGACCATACCACTGAGAAGCTAGGTATCTCGTGAGTGGAGACTCTTTTAATCTACATTGCGCTTCTCCACCCTCCGTAGCGCAGGGCCAGTGGTATTCTAGAACTAGTTATGTACACTGTTCCTGTTAACAGCATTCGGACTCCAGGATAGACAAGAACTGACAGACCACCTTGCTGTGCTGTATTTGAAAAAAAAATCCATAGGAGGGGGGGGGGGGTCAATTCCCTGCTCTGTTTTACAAGTATCACCAAGTTTTTTCCTCTGTCTGTCTCTCTGTACCCCCACAGCATCTCTTTGGTCTTCCACTGAGATGGCCTCAGCTGTTCCCAAGTGAATTAAATCAACTATTGGAACAGCAAGCAAGTGGCCAAGAGACTATTATCACCATTTCGCTAATAATTACCTCCCAACTCATGTCCTAGGGGTTTCTTATCCAAAAATCTAAACAGAGTCTGTTTCGAAGAGAGTTCTGTTCTGCAAACAGTGTGTCCTAGCTATGTG